ACTATGAAAGCAAGGTTTATTCATGGGACTAGGAGCTGGAGTCAGAAAGGAAGGGCATGATGACTGGAAGGAATGAGGTTTGTAGGCTCTTAAGAGGACCACTTAGAAAAGCCAATAAATAGTTTGGGTCATTTTTTAGGAGTGGCTGGGGAGAAGTGATGTATTTCAGTCATAACACCAGAAGAGGTAACAATATAAGGTGCTATTTGAGGTAACAATATAAGGTGACCTTGTCAGTACCCCAAGGTGGCGAGTAGAGTACACAGTGCTCACATTCCATTTGAATAACCTGACCATAAGGGCCCGACAAGTAAAGTCTTCCCCGTCTGCATTGTTCTAAACATGAAGGTAGCAAGGTAATCTGAGAATTATTGAAACACCCATGTGAGCTGTGACTCATTTTCACTCTTTCTAAATCAACAATGCAATTTACATTTTAATTTGAAAATTCAGTTACCTGTTGTACCTTCCCCTCAACAGCTGCAGCATTTCATTTCTGGCAACACACATTCCCAATCATGTATCTTGGAACACAGTTAGTTATACACTTGATCAAGAGTGAGCTTTAGAGTTAAGTCAGCTGGGATGATCTTTTTTAGATGCCTGAGGAATGAAAAAAACTAAAAGTGCTTGGAGAGACAGGAAAGAATCTCTTTCTAGGGGTATTGCATCTATGTGCCCTGTTCCACATTTTTTTCTCCAACAAAACATTGAAACAAACAATAACAGAAGCATTTCTGTCTTTCCTGCTGCAGAAAGAATGCCCGAGGAGGCCACTGCACTCGTTAATGTGATTGCAGGCTGACTGCCCTGAATTCTCCTCCATGAATACTTCCAGAAGACAGTTCAATTATTGGATTTCTTTCTACAACAAATCCCCGAGAAATAGAATACATAAAGGAGAAATTAAAGAGAAAAGATCACTCACAATATGGATATGGAATGTAGCCTAAGGTGATTTCTTTAACTCTCAATCTCTGCAATGGAGCTTCAGGACCCTCCATCTTCAAGCTGCCACGTCATATGTTTAGACAAAGAATGAACACTAGATGGCGCTCAGAAACCTTAAAACATAGTAAAAGGCCAGTTCTCTTTTCTGTACAGGCAAGAATGTAGGAAACAATTATGGGAACTATAAAAATATCTTCTCAAGCATTTCTCCCTTCTGTTGTCCTGTGAGGTACTCCTTATGTAAGGATTTGGTGGTCAAATATATTTGGGAAAACCATATACTTTATTTGCTCTAGGAGATTTCCAATGCACATTGGTAAAAACAGATGTTTTTGAGAAGTTCTTGACTGAAGAAGCCTATACCAAGGAACCTGTTTCAGTAGGAATCAATTACAATCTGGCTGTTGCAGTGTTCCATAAAACACACTTTGGGAAATGCTGATCTAATCCAAGTGCTATCCCAAGGAAGGAACAGCCCAAACTATCTAAAAGAGGCCTTCTATATGCATGGTTATTTGACTCTTTAACAAACTGATTAGATCTGTTCTTAAGGCGTCCGGGCACAGTGGCTCACACCTGTAATCCTAGCACTCTGGGAGGCGAGGCAGGCAGATTGCTCAAGGTCAGGAGTTTGAAACCAGCCTGAGCAAGAGTGAGACCTCATCTCTACTAAAAATAGAAATAAATTAATTGGCCAACTAAAAATATATAGAAAAAATTAGCTGGGCATGGTGGCACATGCCTGTAGTCCCAGCTACTCAGGAGGCTGAGGCAGAAGGAGAAGGATTGCTTGAACCTAGGAGTTTGAGGTTGCTGTGAGCTAGGCTGACACCATGGCACTCATCACTCTAGCCTGAGCAACAGAATGAGACTCTGTCTCAAAAAAAAAAAAAAAAAAAAAAAAAAAAAAGAAAGGTAATTTTCTATTAAGCAACTCTCTTATCTATGAAAAACAATTGAGAGCAATGACTTACCTTCCCAGCTCCTTCCCTGGGGATTCTATTTTCCTTTTCTGAACTTACTACATTATTCTAAAAATGACTTATTTGCAAATTAATCTTACATAACCCAATACATACTGCATTTTTATTTAGCTCTTGATTGCTATTTAGAGTTTTTGTTTTGTGTTTTCCAGAAAGGTATAGCTTGTCCCTGTATGTCCAGTATAAGTTGTAGATGTAAAATATAAAATATTTTCTTTTTCATATTCCATGTAATAATTTGATTCTGCCATTTTCTTTCCATATAATGTTTGAGGTTCTCAAACCCGTTTCTTGTTTTCTCTCAGTGTTAACCAATGAAATTCTAATACTGAGTCTTGAAACTAGCTGCTTTCTAGCCATAGGTTAAATAAATTTTAGCAAGCCAAAAAGAGAAATATTTCCTCTTCTTTTTCAAGTGAAAAATGCAGACAATATTTTCATCATTGAACGTACGGAGGTTAAAACAAATAAAGCCAATGGCTTGGTGGATTTTCTATTTATACAGAACTAGAGAGTCTAATGTCATCTCTGTACCTCAGTTTCTTTAGCCTTAAATTGAGCATAATAAGGCAGAATGTTGCTATAAGATTAAATGAGTTATAATAGTGACTGAACCAAAAGTATCATGTAAGCAAGAGTTCTGTGTTCCTGAATGTGGTTAAAACAAGTGTTGAATAGAGACTGTTGACACAATTTTGAAGAGAGAATGTGCTATGGGGAGAAAGAAGATTGACTTTCGGTCAGGAGACCTAGTTGTGGGTCCAGTTGTAGACAGATCATGTAGCCTTTCTCAATCCCCTTTTCTTGATTTGGAAAATTGGAGTTGTAATAATAACGTACCCTGGTACTTAGAATGTCTTTGAGGATCACCAGAATTAATGCACGTGACAGTGCTTTGTATCTGGGAATGTACTGTGACCGTATGCATGCTGACTGTAATGAAATGACAGAGTGGTCCCCCAGTCTACAGATTTTAAGCCAGGATGATGAAGATATGTTGGTATGCTTTAGATAGAATTTTAGAGTCAATCTTTCAGGCTATAGTGACTTCTTAAAGGGCCACCACATTTATCCAACACACTTTTTTATTCAATAAACATTTTTTCAGAGACTGCTAGGTGCCAGGCACTGTACTAAATATTGAGGATATAAAATCATGTAAGATAGAGAATTTTATTTCAGGAAGCTTTATCACTTAGTATAGGAAGACAAACATGTAAACATATGTGGGCAATAAGGTTTAATACTTGACAATTATATTTTATATATCATTTAAGTGTTGAAGAAGTTGGTGAGGGAAGTAGTTAAAGGGGTGACATTCAGCTCTTAGATGGCAGAACAGGGTCCTGGCAGGGAACCTTACCCTATTTCTCCAGTATGCAACATCCTTTCAGAGATCTGCAAGCTAAAAATGAGTAGGCAGAGGCCTGCATGTGTGAGAGAACTACAGAGACACAGATATCACAGTCATCAGGCAGACTGCTGGACACTTTACTCAGGTCAACTGACTGTTTGCGACCTAAGTCAATTGTGTGTGAGTGAGTGTGTGTGTGTGTGTGTGAGAGAGAGAGAGCATGAGAGAGAGAGAGAGAGAGAGAGAGAGAGAGAGAGAGAGAGAGAGAGAGAGATTGAGAGAGAGAAATTTGCCCATTTGTTTAAGGAGTTGGAATGATGACTAACAAATATAAAGTCACTTGGAAAATTCTATCTATAAATCATAGCTATAAAACGAGAACAAATTTTTCTAAGCACACAATGAAAACCATACATTAAATGCCTCATTGAGTTATACACCATAATTTCAGCCATAAGAATTGGCTCCTTATGTAATTCTCAATTATTATTTGCATTATTACCAAAAATCCACTATGGGCAGAAAAACACTCACTTGGATTCAATTATCTATCATACCAGGGAAGTAGCTTGATGTAGTGGAAAGAAACAGTCAATACATATTTAAACAAATAAAAGGAACTAGGGAAAGAAAGGAAGAGGGAAGGAAAAGCAGAAGGAAAGAAGAAAGGGAAGGAGGGAGGGAAGAAAGAATGGAGGTAGGGAAGGGACAGAATAGGTGTGATGGATATTAAAACTGAAAGTTTAAATCCCAGCTCTAACTCTCTCTAGTTGGGTAACCTTTGATAAGTTACTTAATCTCTCTAAGTTTTATTCTCTTCATCTGAACATGGGTAAGACCATTCAGGGTGATTGTGAAAATTAAAAATTACTTTTATACCTATGCAAGATGAATAAATCCTAGAGATCTACTGTACAGTGTAGTGCCTCTAGTAACCAATCTTGTATACTTAAAAATTTGCTGAAAGGGTGGCTCTTATGTAAGTGCTCTTATCACATACACACAAAACAATAAATAAAGAGTTCCAGAAGAAACTTTTGGAGATAATGGATATGTTTACAGCATAGATTGTGGTGATCATTTCATGAGTGCATACATATCTCCAAACTCATTAAGTTGCATACATCAAACATGCACAGCTTTTTGTATGTCAATCATAACTCAATAAAATGATCTTAAAATTACTTTTATAAAATGCTTGATAAATAATAGGTGCCTAATAAATTGTTGCTGATAATTCTTAAATTGAGGTAAATGGTAATGCTGCTATCACTTATCACCATTAGCAAACTGTGTATAGCATTATCTTATGCATTTTCTTACATAGTTATATGCACTAAACTATGTATATTATAATGGTGTTGTTTTTAGAGTATGGTCATGAGTTTGGAGGACAAACCTGATTTTTAATAAAGTAAGTAATATATCATTTTTAAAAGGTATACTTCTCAATGTTCTCTTAGATGCAAATGTGTCTCAAAAAATCTAAAATCTTAGAAAACACTAGCACCTCCACCTTTATCTGAGTGAAGCAAATGTAACAAAGATCAAGCACCTGCACATCATTGAAACTGCGACATGCACTTGAAACCATAATGCCGCTATCCATTTTTCCTTTTTAATTAAGGTGCTTTTGGTGTCATAATTGAAAGTGATTTTTTCACAGATGGTGTCAGACATGGAGGGAATGAAGACTAAAGAGAAATACTCACCGATAGGATCTGGTCTCCTCTCTGGAGCTCCCCACTCAGGTCTGCTGGTCCACCGGCCAGAATGAAGGATACAAATATACCTTCTCCATCTTCCCCGCCCACAATGTTGAAGCCCAGGCCAGTGGAGCCTTTGTGCAGGACCACCTTGCGGGGCTCCCTGCAGAAAATGGAGAACACAGCTCACAGGGTGACCCATTCAAGATTTAGGCTGCTTTTACTTTCATTAGGATATATGATATCAGCAATTCACTAGCTATGAAAATGGTTTCCTGAAGTAAAATACGTTTGCAAATCAAGAAAGCGGCTGATATCAGGACAGATGTCTGAGTTCCTTACTTAACACTTACCGAAATACCATGCAAAATCATTCCTTGATTCTAAAACATTCTCTTAAACTAGTTGGACTTCTACTTTTCTTTTGTTTAAAATATTTGTTCTTGTATTGAGCACCATGACAGTACTCAGTGGGATAAATGTATCCAAAAGGAGGGAGGGATTTGGGGGGATAAGGGACAAGATTGAATGGCCAGATAATGAAAAATCTTTTTTATATGCAAGCCTGTGGGTTTGTTGTTTGAGTGTTAATTAAAATTTATTCTGTAGGCAGTAGGGACTCATTGGAAGAGTCTGAGGCATCAAAAATATTTAAATCCATTTTAGGAAGATGGTCATATGTGGAGTTGATAGTGAGGGAAACACAGATATGACAGGAGCCAGGAAAACTATGTAGAATGTTTTCTAAGAAGTGACAGTTTGAAAAGGCAACATGAAAGAGGGCATTTGAAAGAAGATGCAGTGGGTCCAGGGATTGAGTCAGGCATTAGAAAAGGAAGAGAGAAAGCATCTAGGTAACTGGCAAAAGGAGGTGGGAGTAGAATCCAGAGTCAGGAGGAGAAGTGTGATTTTGACATACTCAGTTCCAGGTAATGGTGAGATATCCATGTGGAGATGCTCTGAAGCAGGTGGAGACAAAGATAGGAATCTGGTCCCCAGGACTGGAAATGCAGATTTGAGGGTCATCAATGAAAAGGTGAGAGATCAAATCTTGAGCCAATAGTTCACTGACTTTGTGGATAGTTCATAAAATTATGGAATTATAGAATTGCAAGATATCTTAAAAGGCATCTAGTTCAATTTTCTATGTCAGCAGTTTAAATTACAGTGTTCTGTAAGCTTCAGGTTTGAGCAAAATGTCTTTTGTATCACGCACCCTCATCTCCCAAATACCGCAGTTCCAGTCACTGAAGGTTCTTTTCTATTTTCCTACTCTTAATGATGTAAGACTGGTAAAGAGCCATCCAATACATTTTTATACTACTGACCATATAATGAGTTTGTTATGTGCTATAACATTTCCATGCATAAGCAATATCTATGCTTAGCCTTTTTATGAGGAGTTTAAAATGCACATCACAGTAAGCAATACGTCACATAGCAATATGATGCATTAATTCAACGGTAAATTAATATAGAATTAATTCATTTTATTCTACAAATACTTTGTAAGCACCTACTGTGCCAGGAACTATTTCAGATGCTCAGAATGTTTGCGAACAAAACAAATACCTCTGCCCTTGTGGGCTTGCATTCTAATGAGGGTAGGCCACTAATAAACAATAGATGCAATGAATAAGTTCATTATATAATACATTAGAAGGCAATATTTATTTTGGAGAAAAAGCAAAAGCAGAGCAGTGTAAGAGGAATAGGTCGTGGCATGGGGCCGTCCTGGGTAGGATTCATTGAGAAGGTGACATTAGAGCAAAGACTAAAGAGGTGAGGAAACTAGTCATGTAGATATCTAAGGAAATCATTTTAGCCAGAGGCAAGTGTCAACACAGAGATTCTAATATTGAGGGTGCCTGGTGTTATCAAAGAAGAACTAGGAGGCCAATGTGGCTAAACTGAGTGAATGAGGGAAGGAGAATGGTAAAAGATGAAAAAGTCAGTGTGATAGTTTTCTACTACTGAGTAACAAATTATCACCAATTTAGCAGCTTATAACCACACCCATTGCTATCTTACAGTTCTGTAGATCAGAAGTCTGGGTTACCCTGACCAGGTAGTCTGCCTAGGATCTCAAGAGGCTGAGGTCAAAGTGTCAGTCAAGCCAAGCTTTATTGGGAAGTTCTGCGGAAAAACCTGCTTCCAAGTATATTCAGGTTGTTGGCAAAATTCGGGTTTTTTTTTTTTTTTTGGTTGTAGGACTGTACTAGTTACAGTTCTCTAGAGAAATAGAACCAACAGGATGATACGAATATATATATTCCTACTGGCTCCGGGAGAGCCAGCGGTGGGTCCAGGCTGAGTCTGAGTGTGAAGGCAGGAGAAAATTGATGTTCCAGCTTGAAGAAGGTCAGAAAGAAGAAGTAAGTTCTTCCTCATTCTGTTTTTTTTTTGTTGTTATTGTTGTTCAATTCAGGCCTTAAATGTATTGGATGAGGCCCACCCACATTGGAGAGGATAATCTGCTTTGCTCAGTCTATAGATTCAAATGTTAATTTAATCTAGAAACACACTTACAGGGCTATTAGTGTGCCCATCACTCATTAGGTAAGTTTTCACCCCTCTCCTCCCCATTGCTTGATTTCCAATGACTTTTACTTCCCTCTGTGCACATGTGTGCCCATTGGTTAGTTCCATCCAACCTTTCAATAAACAAACAACTACAGAGTAGCTACTTCATGTTAGGCACTATGAATACAAAGATTAAAGAGCCTGGGGTAGGAAGAGCCACAGGTAAACAAACACTTATAAAAGCCCAGGAACAGGACAAGTGCTATGACAGAGACATATAAACAATAAGCTAAAGTGGCCACGAGTAAGAAGTAACCAGCCTTTTTCTAAAAAGATTTTATCCCTTTTATCATTACTGAGATGAAATGTGCTATATTCATTTGTGCAGTTTTATTCTTCTCTTAATGTGATGTAAGAAGCCTTTATAATTATAAAACCTTTCTTTGAATGCTGAAAATTTGGAGAGCTACCAGCCTGACCTGCTTCCAGCTGTGTAATCTTGTTTAGCTGGAGACTCAGAGGATGCTCTAAGCCAGTGGGATGTTTTTGGGAGAAGGGAGTAGGGTGTTATGAGTAGGGTGTTTCTCTCTTTATGCCAGGTGGCTTAAAAGGATTCAGAATTCAAAAAGGAAAGTGACTACTTAAACTTGAAGGCTTTCTTATGACCATTAGTGGGCTGTCCTTTGAATTTTGAGCCTCTGGGATCTGTGAATTCACTTCAGTCAACTCCTAAAACATCCCTGGTGAGCGGCTATGTCGAGTAGTCGGAATTAAGGTATAAAAATGTTTTCAGGCATTTTTCTAAAAATTCTTATCTGACCATGTTACTTTCTTGCTCAAAAGTCTTCTAAGGATCTATATGTCTTCAGGATAAGGCCTAAACCTCAAAGCTCCCCATCATTTGACCTTCATCTAGTCCTCCAATACCTAACTTCATTGTGCTCCCTCATACCCAACATTTCAGTCACACAGAGCTGCCAACCACAGCTTCTCATCCCAGGTTGTCCCTCGCTGTCTTTACCCTGGATGTTCTCTTTGGCTGGAAGAATACCTTCTCCTGCTATTCTCCTCTATCTAATGAACTTCTACTTGGCCTTCAAGACCAAGGCGAGGTGCCTCCTCCTCTCTTTTGCCCCCTTCACCCTCACCTCCAGAAGAACTGACAACTTCTTTTTTGAAACCACATTGGTCTTGCACTGAGCATACCACTATCATTGCCTTTACTGTTATGAAATTACTTTGTTTACCCACCCATTTATACTGTGAATCTGTATAGTCCTTAAGGATAAAGGACCTTAAAGTCCCTTTTTGTTTTTGTAATTTTGGGAACAGTACAGACTGAATATATAAGAAACAAAAAATATGTTTCATGCATAAAGAAAAAAGTAAGTGAGGAGAAATGACATTGAATTCTGGTTCCACCTCTCCAGGGGTCTGTGGGCACCCAGGCATGCCCTCTGTAGCTCAGGTTCCTCACTTAGGTAATGGAGGGAATAATGTTTGCCTCATGGGAAAGTGGTAAAACTCAGATGAGACAAAGAGCTAAAGGCATCTAGAAAACTGAGAAGTATTAAAGAAAGATATACATCTGATTGCATTTCCAGTCATTTGGCAGATTAGATGTTCTGAAAACCCCTCTCATTACAAAGCAGCTCAAAACTCTGAATACTTATAAAATACTCTTAAATGCACGGCTCAGCTTGCAAGTAAGAGAAATCCTCAGAAGCTGAAAGTGAAGCAGAAATGCAAGCTCGGGAGAAAGCAAGTGCCGAGAATAGAAGCTGACTGAAGGGCAAAAAGCTAGTGTTTCAGTGTATATATTTTATAGCTGCATAGAGAATAGGATTGTGTGGGCCCAGAGGTAGAATCAGATCAGAGACCCTGAGCAAAATTAGGACCCTGAAAGGCTACACTCTAAATAAAAGGGTAAAGTACAAAAATGTTAGCCTCTCAACAATGTCAAGGATATATATTATTTACCCTGACATTGGCTCAAAGCAAGAAGAAAGGGCCTGGGGAACTAATCAAGGCATATTTGAATGTGGAAGTTACACTTTAGGAATAGACTTCATCCAGCTGAATAAATTGGGAGAAGAAAGGAGGGTGGCAAGAGAAAGAACCTGGCAATGTCTCTCCAGCATTATGAGGCAGGGGTGCTCTCCAGCTCCAGCTCCAGGTCACTGACATGAATGTGCTGTCCTGGTTTATTGACGTAACACATGAGATGGGTTCATCTGGCCATCTTAGCTCAATGACAGTAGCCATTAATGTCATTTGGGTGGCTCATTTCCCTCTCCGAGACCACAGGCTCACCAAGCCACCTGCTCATTAAAATGTGATTTCCCATAGTGCTTTTCCTATGGGGAGTAGTATCTTGAGCAGTTATGCAATATTTTCCATTGTAAATTAATAACTTTGTATTACAGCATATAAGCTTGATTACCCCTGGATACACTGACAAAAACTGAGTTTCAGAGAATGTAGATCTAAGGCCCAGACCCAGTACCATGAGAACTCAATTGGGGGATGCTAGTTGTTGGAAGTCATACATGAAGAGCCAGCTAGTTTCCTTGAACCTTCTTTTTTTCATTTCTCTATAAATACAACTGTGTTCATGTGAGTAATGTTATTTAAGAAAGG